TTTAAACAGCCATTGCTTTGGTGTCGGAAAGAAGGGTTTCAAGGAAGGGAGAATGCAATATTTGTGGTGCTGATGAAAGCAGAAAGGCATTGGCTTTAAAGTTTTGAGTTGTAAATAAATAAATAATTGAGTAGTACGAAAATGAATGAAATGCGATAAGTGAAATGCGAAAAAGGAACATTTCTGAAGGAATCGATGCATAGGGATATTCCATGAGACAACGACGTCAACCAACGATCGCGGTAATTCGATTGATATATAGTCAGTCACTGGACTTATTGATATGCCTGCGGCAACTGCGGATGCGTGAGAAAGTGAACTGACGAAATAGTGACTGAATCGGAATGACTGAGCGATTCCGAATGACGACCAGAAGCCGTTCCTTGGAAATATCAGTTCAGTTATACAACTTGAATAAAGTACGAATATTAACGAAATGGCTACTAGAAATATGCCGTAGATTATATCCTTCATCTGCTCCTGAAATACGAAACATCAAGAAAAGTTATAAACGGCTTATTTCTGAAGCAGTCAAAAACTGAAACTGAATAATTGCTAGAGGATTCAACCAACTTCCATGAAACTTAATGTTCATTCGCATGAAGTTCACCAAACATCTTTTTTTTAAATATTTGAGCATCAGTTATTCAATGTTGAAGCAATGACCAAAGTATTGCTTCCACGAAATCTAGTGGTGATTTCATTGAATAAATTATGTGAAACGAATAACCTTGAACGATTTACATTGCAAGGATCTTTTGTACTGACTGAAAGATATCCAAGGACCGAACAGCACAGTGCATGGATCTAAGAAGTATGCTATTAATGCTGTCAAATCAATCTCGTTCCAACTCGATGACTGCTCACCAACGATATCGCAGCAAATCGATACCAACTTCATTATCACAATCATTAACGTGCCTCGTATTGACAGAAACATTTCAGCTGTCAGCGAATACTGCCTTAATTCATCTGCATCATTAACAGTCGAATCGAACTGCTTCCAAGAAATAAAACTATGAAAAAAACTATTGAATATTTGTTTTCATGAGAGTGAAGTAGGTTAAAATGAAATTGCAGAAACAAAGCGGAACGCACCAGAACAGAAGTGAAGTTATTCCGAATGAAACTGAAATCAACTCCGAGTAGCGATAAGCACTAATGAATGGTGTCAAATAGACTATCGGTAACAATAGCGCTATAAATGTGATAATACAAAGAAACGTATCACTATTATGCGTCCATAACATAAATAGACCTCCGCCAGCGATAAAAGCGTTTAGCAGATATTCGTTCAATTTACCTAAAGAAATTGATTTTACTCACAGACATAATGCTTCATTAGCAGTGGGGAGGAAGATTTCTCTCAGGACAAATGAGTCTAGACGTCCTTCAGCTGTGGTACTTTTGCAAATAAATCGAAAAGTGTTTAAAGTGTTGCAGAAATATTGTACTGATATCAACTGTGGCTAATGATTAGGAATTAAGCTGATAAAACAAATTCACGATAAACTGTTGAGAAATGCCACCAACCAGCCGTGTTAAGTGCCACCAAAATTCGTTTGATAACTGCGAATGAAATGAGTTTAACGATCAGAAACTGCAAAGATTCCAGAACGCCTTTACCACACACTATCAATTGCGAGTAGTTGGAATTCAGTTCAATCATGTCCTGATAGTCTTCATCCGACAAATAAATAAAGTCGTTATGGTCCACGTCCATATTCACATCATACTCTTCAATATCCATATTTGCACTGAAATCATACATACCAATTATAACGCAGAATTTATCCTTTAAATTTGAGAATTTGAGCAGCACACGCTATCGCTAACAAGATATGGGAACTTGAAGGAACTGCCATATGGATGCTTCAAATATTTTCAAACCCGACGACCCTTTAGTGCACGATAAAGTCCATCCACTGCTATTTAACAAAAATCGCTCGTCAAAATCAGTCACACCTGCAAAACGTGCCCACAAACCAAAATGTGGCGAAGTGACCGATTTCCGAAAAAAGCAATCATGGAAAAAGTCGCAAAACCGATTGGGAAATGAGTCTTTTTTATCCATTTCAAGTTTTCGGATCCATTTCTGTGGTGTGATTTTGATACCAGAAATATGTTTAAGGGTACAGTTTGAAGGCGGTTCAACTCTTATCACTATATATGTTCGAACTGAATGGGCTAATTCTTAAGAACGCTGTGGTGTTGATCTTATTTTTACGTATTTTTTGAAATGTTTTCGTCTTCAACATAGCCTGTTCAAGCCTTTGCCACACAAATGTATCTTTCGCAGATATGTCAAAGAAATCAAAATGACGCTGGTAACTTACCGATGAATTTGAAATGTTACGCAAACAATAAAGACATTACTCAAAAATTAAGCTCACACATTCAGCAAATCCATACGAGCGTGCGCTGATATGGTACTACAGGAGTCGTCATCACCCGATCGAGTATTCGACACAAAAAACATCAGTACTGAACGTTTAGCCAAACTTCATGCCGCACTGTTGGCATTCACTGTACCAGATGAGGTGCTCATTTTCAATAAATTATTTCCGACAGTGTTAACTGTCANCAATTGTTTTCCGGAAATATAACTCAGTAATTCAGCGGGAAATCACCCTTCCTTGATCGTTTTCACTTATTAAGTTGATAGGAAGAGCTATCTTTTATAGTTTTATTTTGTCATTATTGTGCTTCGTATTGATTGCGTTTATTTGAGAAATCACTGAAAAGACCACCAAAAGGATTCTCACGATGCCCGATGAAAGAAATTGACGAATATTTTGAGATGGTTGCCAAATTGGGTAAACCGTTGTTCAAGTGGGATATTATTCGTGCAGCATTCTTATGGAAACTTGATGTTAGTTCACCTTTACTGTCTCGATATCTCCAGTTTATCACACGTGAACTAAGTGAAGTTCAATGCCTTTCAGTTGTGAATGAAATGTTTTGCAGTTAACAATGTCCGAGATGTTATGTGTGGAAGCAGAAAGTCTTGCTGAAGGAACGAAAGATACAATGATAACAGATGAGGAGTTACGTACACAACGAGATTTTATCATGCGAAAAGCAGAGCAGTTTGATGGGACACCGTTCACAATTCAGCGGTGCCTCTTTGGTTATTTGTTTTGATTGCTATTGAGTAGAGAAAGACTCGGATTTGTTTGTTGATGAATTTAAGTGAATAGCTACATGGTATTGCAGATTATGTGAACTGCTCACAACACCGTCACGACACTACAAAAGAACCGATAAGTATTTGAGAGCTTTGGAAAAGAATATAAATGTTGTTACGACGATTACTGAAAATGGAGAGCGAGTTACTGGAGTGGAACAGTTTTCGATAGTGGACGATGAACGACCGCAACGAATCGAACAGAATTTCTTCTTGAAGGTTCTCAATAATTTGAAAATGCATAAACCAAATGGAATTTATTGTGTTAGAGCAATACGCACACACACACCTGTTGCGATGGTTTTCTTTTGGAAGTAGGCTCTCCAACTAAAAACAATTCTTCTGCGAGAAGCACCCTGTGTTCGTATTTCCCTTTCTCGGTCAGTGGTCTGCACTCAATAACGCTAGAACCTTATTGGGGTCTGACCAATGCGGCATTCCGTGCAAATAATTTACTTTTGTAATCAAAGTCAACAATGTTATCTTCGATAAATGTTCAGTTTCTAATTATTTTTGTTCAGGTCGATGAATGCGATACACCAATAGAAACGAAGATTTTGGAAGCAAAAGTGAAAATGGTACGTTTAATAGTCACTTATTGAAACATTCAAAAAAAATCCCAATAACTGAAATCCGATTTGCATTGAAGGAAAACGGTGGTTCGGATGAAATCAACGAAGAGAATCAAATGGCCATTGACGATGACGCAATACCAATAAATCTATCAGCTAGTCGTAAAGATTGCTTGAAATGCTCAAATGAAGACTCAGCTATTAAAGTATTAAATTAAATTATTTCTGAAAGCGGAGTTATCCCACTTCCTATCCCCAGGAAACAGTTGAAACGTTATGTTACTCGTTGATAGATTCTCACATTCACTCATTTAGCATAAGAAACGTTCGATTGCTTTGCTTCATTGAAGTTAATGATAGTGATGATGCTTCATAAGTGATTGTCATTCAGAAGGAAACTGAAGTGCAAGCAGATGTGAAGAGCACTGAGAATAAAGCATTGGAGAATGATGATGGCGATAAGCTGATGGAATCGGAGAAAGATGAAGTCAGTCGGGGAGAGGAGAATGAAGTGAAACCAGAGCAGACGAGAGTTGAAGGAAACGAGAAGGAAGCAACTGAGCGATGCTCGTATCACGATTCTAATAACGAACCACAAAATGCACAAGATAGCAGCAAAAGTAACACTGCTCATTTGTGTGCATCTGATAACAAAACGAAATAGTAGCTTTAAAATGTTTATCATCTGCATTCTTTTGATGTGTCGTAATTGTGAATTGTCTCTGAAGCACCACTATCCAACTACTAATTTCTGTGATGCGATCTCAACATATAATCATCATCATTTGTATCGTGAATAAGTACTTAATTGAATTATGAATAAGTATGTAATGATCCTTTGCGCATTGAACAGTTTTTATTGAGAATAGCTGGGCGAACCGTTGTTATGAAAGTGATGTGATGCAATTGCACTTGAATTGATGCTCATAAAGACTGTTCGATGAAATATCAGATTCAGTTCAGTTATTGACTTCATGAAAGACAAATATGGATATCATTCGTTCTGATCATCAGCATGATCAACATCATTGTTAGGGGTAATTGCGGAGAATGATTGGTCTCACTCGCACATTCATTGCATTGAAATATACACACTGAACAGACTGGAAAAAGCACTTGTAATTCGACGACTGCACTCCTTTTCTCTTACCGGTATTTTCGATGTTTTTATGTATCTGCGTTGTTTTCATTGTATACCTAACTTCCTATCGCTTCGCAGCTGTGATTATTCAACTGTTGCGAAAAGTTTTATAAATGTGTTGTTGGATTCGAAACTTTCATCACCTCTCTATGTTTATTGGTAATTTTTGCTGTTAATTCATTGTCGATTACATCAAGAGATGTAACGGAGATTATCGTTTGTATCGAGATGAATAATAATGATAATAACACTATCGAGATGAATACACCCAAATACACCACAACACCTTCGTGATGTACCGCTGAAATCTGTCAAAACAATCCGCACTACTAGAGTGATCACCCTTCTGTGCATTTATGCTGGCGAGATTATAAAGTGGAGGAACTGAACTACGACAGAATGCTACGAAAAATGGCTGGTCACGAGAACGAAAAGGTGGCTGCGATACAAATGTTGCTAGAGACTCAGAAATGATCAAGTTGAAACGCGACCTAGAAAAGATTTTTTCTTAAAACTTCGATAACATCAAGAACAATCTAAGCCAGTGATTCTCTTAGGGGTGAAATTACCCATTTTGGATAACTTGGGGGTCTCGTGCGGGGTAACGGAGGGGGTCGGGAAACTAGTATTTCATGCAGTTGTTACGTTGTGATAGAACGCCATCGCGATGGTGA